CTACATACTGAGTTCCAGGCCAGCTGGGGCTACAGGGAGACCCTGTCTCAAAAAGACAGGAAAAAAAAAAAAAAAAAAAAAAAAAAAGTCCCTTTTCAGCCTTAAATGAGAACTTGTAATCTAACAAAGTGAAAATTTTAGGTTTGAACATAGTAAAAGATTTATAACTTGCTAACAGAAAGCAGTTTATGGCTGAGCCTGTAATCCCAGTACTTGGGAGGCTGTGGGAGGACAATCTGGAATTTCAGGACAGCTTGGGCTATACAATACCCTATACCCCCCAATGGGGGGAAAGTTACATGAATAGACATACTTTCAAATCTTGTTCTTCTTCTACTTTAGGTGCTGTTTGTACTTTTATCTTCTCTGAAGAGTCTTCTACTTCTGTTTCTTTGTCTGAATTTTCATCTATTTTTTCTGAAATTTCAGCACCAATTGCTGCAAAAACCAAACCAAACACACATACACACAAAAAAATATTAAGTCAAAGAAACAAAGAGAGTTTCAAAGCATACTTATTCCCCTTGAAGCAGACACCTAAAAGTTATCTTTTGCCTTTAACTTTGTTAAAGTTCGAATAACCTGTCAATCAACCCTCAAAAATGTATCCTTAAAATGTTGACTATATATAGTTATGCTGTCTACTGTATTGATTACAGGTTCTGCTTTCCTTTTCTCTTTATCATCTTTTCTAATCTTTCCTCCAGAATACCACCACTTCAATTACTTACAAAAGTAAGTTAGCAAACCTGGAATACACAGGAATTTTTTGTTTTGGACATAAGATCTCACTGTGTAGCCCTGGCTGGCCTTGAACTTAGAGATCCATCTATCTCACCAGTACCACAATTAATGGCCCGAATACATAGGGATTCTTTGTCAAATGGAGCAGGAGAAAGGCTTTAAAAAAACAAACCAAGGGGCCGGGTGTGGTGGCGCACGCCTTTAATCCCAGCAACTTGGGAGGCAGAGGCAGAGGCAGGCGGATCTATGTGAGTTCCAGGTGAGCATGGTCTACATAGTGAGTTCCAAGACAGCTGGGGCTACAGGGAGACCCTGTCCCAAAAAGACAAAAAAAAAACAACAAAAAAAAAAACAAAAACAAAACCAGGGTCTGGAGAGATGGCTCAGCGGTTAAGAGCACTGACTGCTCTTGCAGAAGACCTGGGTTTGATTCCCAGCACCCACATGGCAGCTACGAACTGTCCTTAACTCCAGTTCCAAGGGAATCCGAAGCCCTCTTCTGACCTCCTCAGCATTGCGCAACATGGGTGCACTCACATACATGCAGGCAATACACTCATACACATAAAATAAAAATATAAAATATTTAAAAAAAACAAGCCAGGCATGGTGGCGGACGCCTTTAATCCCAGCACTCGGGAGGCAGAGGCAGGCAGATCTCTGTGAGTTCAAGGCCAGCCTGGTCTACACAGTGAGTTCTAGGACAGCTGGGGCTACAGGGAGACTGTGTCTCAAAAAGACCAAAAAATGAAAAAAAAAACAAAAAAAAAACAATAACAACAACAACAACAAAAAACAAAACAAAACAAAGCAGCATTTACTGTGTGTGTTTTTTTTTTTTGGGGGGGGGGTCCTTTTTTTGAGACAGGATCCTCTGTAGCCCCAGCTGGTCTGGAACTTGCTATGTACACCAGGCTATGTAGACCAGGCTGGCCTTGATCTCAGAGATCTGCCTGCCTCTGCTGGGAGCAAAGGCATGTGCTACCTCACCCAGAAGTAGCAATGACTTTAAAGATTCAATTGCCAGGTGTGGTAGGTCACACCAGTAATGCCATCAACTCAAGAAACCAAGGCAAGGAAGACTCTGAGTTTCATACCACTTGGACTTCGGAGCAATTCCCTGTCTTAAAAACAAAGACTCTGCCACCAAACCCATCCAACTATCTGCCTGAACTGAATGAGACCTATAGACAATCTAGACAGATAAAGTTGTCTATACCTGCACTATCAGTTACTCTGGAAATCGGGCCACAAGAGAACTGTGAGCCCTGAAATTCTGGGCCAGTTGAGGCAATCTGGCCGAGATCCCATTTCTTTCTCTGATTTCTTCATGCTTGACATGGTGGCACAGACCTATGATCCCAATACTTGGAAGAGGGAGGTAGGAAAACCAGAAGTTCAGTTACCATCAACTATATATGAGGTTCTGGGCCAGCCAGGAATACATAGCAAGACCATGTCTCAAAACTCTACAACAAAACAAAATGCAACTACAATAGGATCTCACTCTGAAGCCAGGCTGACCTGAAACCTGTGATCCTCCTGCCTCTACATCCCAAGCATGAGAATTATGGTCATGTACTGTAACACCTACCCTTATGCTTTGTTTCTTTTATAAAATTTTACTATAGGGAGTGGTGGCATATGCCTATCCCAGTACTCAGGGGGCAGAAGAGGCAGAGATCTCTGAGTTCCAGGCCAGCCAGGGCTACAATAGTGAGACCTTGACTCCAAAACTTAAAAATTTATTATTTTTATTTAATGTGTATGATTTTACTGCCTGCATGTAGGTAGGTGCACCTGTGTCATGTAATGCTCGAAGAGGTCAGAAGAGGGCTTCGAACTGCAGTTATGGATAGTTGTTAGCCACCATGAGGGTGCTGGGACTCGAACCCAGGTCCTCTGCAAGAGCAGCCAGTGCTCTTAATGCCGAGCCATCTCTCCAGCGCCTCTCAAAAACTTCCTTCCAGGGCTGGAGATGGCTCAGTGGCTAAGGGTATACTGGCTGCTCTTGCAGAGGACCAGGGTTCGATTCCCAGCACCCACATGGCAGTTAAGAACTGGCCTTAATTCCAGTTCCAGGGGACTCTGACGCCCTCTTCTGACCTCTGTGGCATTGCACAACACAGGTGCATTTACACACATGCAGGCAACACACTCATACACATTTAAAAAAAAACAACACCTTCCTTCCACCTTTATGGGGATCCAGGGATCAAACTTAGGTCAGGCTTGCATTGTCAGGCAGTAAATGCCTTTACCATTGAGCCATATTGCCAAGCCCTATTTTTTCTACATTTTCAAATGACTTGAAACACAATCTATTAGTCGTACTTATCAATTTATAACAGAATCATATATTAAAAATCTTGTATCAGGGCTGGAGAGATGGCTCCATAGTTAAGAACACTGACTGTTCTTGAAGAAGACCCGGGTTCAAATCCCAGCACCCACATGGCAGCTAACAACTGTCCATAATTCCAGTCCCAGGGGATCCAACAGCCTCCTCTGTCCTCCACCGGCATTGCATGGGTGCACTTACCTACATGCAGGCAATACACGAATACACACAAAATAAATAAAATATTTTTAAAAAATATATTGTATCTAGTGGCAGGTACAAGGACAATTTTGAGCACTACTGTAACTGACTGGGATATTTTAAAGGATAATTAAGTGAGATTAAAATACACACATGCCCAAGATAAGTACAACTTAGAATCTACCTATAGTGACACTAAAATGTGTAAAAAGATATGTACCAGAATGTTTATTAGTTTGTACATTATTGAACACCTTGAAAGATATGTATAACATAGTTTGAACAAAGGAGGAACTATACTCTGGCTTAATAGAATGTCCCAAAAATGCTGTAACTCTGGCCAGGTGTGGTGGTGCATGCCTTTAATCCCAGCACTTGGGAGGCAGAGGCAAGCGGATCTCTGTGAGTTCGAGGTCAGCCTGGTCTACACAGTGAGTTCCAAGTCAGCTGGGGCTACAGGGAGACCCTGTCTCAAAAAGACCAAAAAAAAAAAAAAGAAAAGAAAAAAATGTTGTAACTCTACCATCAACCTTCATACCTAATATGACTTCTATCCTGTTAATGTCATTGTCACCCTTAAGTTTCATAAGGGGCAGATTGTTAACCACAAACTTTTGCCTGTTCTTTGACATACATGCACTGAACATCAGCATGTGCATTTGTCTATTTGTCGTGTCTGTCCATGTTGTTCATGTCCATCGCCCCCCCTATCCTGGCACAGTGACTTAGGGTTGGTTTATTTCTGCACTGCTGCTTAGAATTTCACTGATGGAGATTTTGGTGGTCTATAGGTTATTTATTATTAAAAACAAAAAAACTCAAGAACATTGTTATTTGTATTAAGTGTAAAACATGGACACATTAAAAATATACATTAATAAGGAGAGAGTTAAGCATTTCAACCATTCACAGGTTAGAAACAATGATTTTAGTTGGGCATAGTGGTGCACACCAGCACAGAGTGAGGGTGGGGGGCACTGGAAGAGGGTACCCAGGTGGAATCTGAGTTCTAGCACAGCTAGGGCTACATAGTGAGACCTTGTCTTCAAAACAAATAAATGAATAAACAATAAAAACAATGATTTTAAAGCATTAAGTGAAAATAATTTACATGATACAAGTTTTAAATATGGTAAAATTCAATTAAGATACATACACACACCACTATAAATGTACATGAAGAAAGAGAAACAGCCAGGCATGGTGGCTCATACTCAGGAAGCTGGGGCAGGACTGCCATGAATCCAAGACAAGTCTGGATAACACATAGAACCTGTTTCAAAAAGCAAAAGAAGCTAGGCATGGAGGCTCACACCTTTAATCCCAGCACTTGGGAGGCAGAGGCAGGCAGATCTCTATGAGTTTAAGGCCAGCCTGGTCTACATAGTGAGTTCCAGGACAGCTGAGGCTATAGGGAGACCCTGTCTCAAAGACAAAAAGAAAAAAAAACAAAAAACAGCAATGTCTACAGGAAAAACCATGAGATGAGGCTTGCCCTCTCTGATTACCACCTGGTAGAAAGCTCCTTGGGCCTTACACAAATCGGCAATTTCTGTGGCAAGTAACAAAAAGGTGGGACAGAAGCCAGTGAGTCAGCAAGCTAGGTCAAGCCTGATGACCCAGTTTAACCCCTAGAACCTACATAGAGAGAATTGACCCCACAGAATTGTTCTCTGACCTCCACACACACACACCATGCACATGTGCACCCACATACAAATCATACACAAAGATAATTTTAAAAATTAAACTAAAAGGTGGGATAATCGTGTTTTCTGCTATTGAAAGAGAAACAATCCCTACTTTATAATGAAGCCAGCACCTAATGAACACCATCCTCTCCAACTCTTACTCCTCTACTGCAGGTAGAACAGGAAAAAGATATGGAAGGAAGCTTTCTTTTTCGGATTTTCCCAAAGAATAAAAGTGCCATTTCCAGGGCTGGAGAGATGGCTCAATGGTTAAGAGCACTGGCTGCTCTTGCAGAGGACCTGGGTTTGATTTCCAGCACCCACATGGCAGCTACGAACCGTCCTTAACTCCAGTTCCAGGGGAATCCAAAGCCCTCTTCTGACCTCTGCAGCATTGCACAAAACAGGTACACTCACATACATGCAGGCAATACACTCGTACACATAAAATAAAAATAATAAGCCAGGTGTGGTGGTGCACACCTTTAATTCCAGCACTTGGGAGGCAGAGACAGGAGGATCTCTATGAGTTCGAGGTCAGCCTGGTCTACACAGTGAGTTCCAGGACAGCTGGGGCTACAGGGAGACCCTGTCTCAAAAAGACCAATAAATAAATAAATAAATTTTTTAAAGAGTGCCATTTCCCTCCTATTGCTTAAGAGGGAATGAAAGAAACATGGAAGGCTTACCCTCCACAGTTCAACTCTATTAAGTTTCATGTAGTCTGAGAATGAAGCTTAGTATAGGGCTTGCTGGGCCTGTTTCAAGTCTTAGCACAGGAGGCAGAGGAGAGGGAAGCACAAAATTACCAGTTTCTCCATTTTCTGGAGTCTCTCGTCCAGTTTTACTAGAACTCCGGCTGGTGGATTCTGGACTTGTAGCTCGAACAAACATCTTCCATTTTCCTCTTTTAGTCATAAGTCTACGCACTCCATCCTGAGATGCTGGCTGGCTGATATCAGAACGCGGACTAGACCCTGACACACTACCATCTCCTTCCTCCAAGGCTCGTAACTCTGCCTACAAAGAATATGCCAATAAAGTTAGCATGACATTAACTACTTACCAGCGGTTAAGTACTCTGAGTAGCAAGAATGACAGTCATGACTGTTCTTATAATTTAAAACTTGAGAAGAGGAAGTATTTTTTTTTATTTTATTTAAATTAAAGCCAGTATGAGGTACACATTAAGACCTAGTCTCAACCTTTACCTCCTAATAGACACAAGGAATTACAACTGCCTCATAATTCTACTATCTCAAGACCCATTTATTGTTTGACAATTACAAAAAACACTACCAGATACTAAAACAACCACAATTCCCATAGTTTACAAGTTTCACTGTGATAACTTGGAAATACTTAGATGAAGGGATAAGAAAAATCAAAAGCCTAATAATGGTTTTAAGTTGAGCATAACGATCCCTAAGGATGATATTACTAAGGAGAGAAATGTTCTTCAAATCTGTGATGGTAAATCCTCATTATCAACTTAGCTGGATTTGGAATAACAGATTGACCTCTGGGTGTCTGTAAGGGTGTTTCAAAAGAGGTTTACCTGAGTGAAGACCCACCTTGAATTTGGGCAGCATGACCCCATGAGCTGGGTCCCAGAATGAATAAAAGGTATGGGGGGCACAACTCAGTACCAGCTTTCACCTCTTTGCTTCCCGACTGGATGGACACAAGGTGACAAGCTCTCATGTTCCACCTCCACAGCTAGAGCCACTCTCAATGCCTTCCCCATGGTGAGGGGCTATACCCTCAACTGTGAGTCAAACAGCCCTTCCTTCCTTAAGATTCTTTTATCAAATATTCTGTCAGAGTGACGAGAAAGGTTAACTAACACAAAGCCTTCAAAAACTTACTTTTTTCCTTTCCAAAACTAGCTCCAGCTCTAGGGTATCTTGTTCCTCTTCTTCCTCACTTTCCCCAGATTGAACAACACTGCAAAGATCCTCCAGAGAAGGGTCTTCTATACTGTCCAGTGTAACTTCTGATGGCTTTGCAACTGGCATTGCTTCTTCTGCTGTTGTACTTGTTTCTTTCACCTCTGAAACAGACTCTGTTTCTTTACAAATGACTTTTCTTCTCCATCTTTCTTCTTCTTCTTTTATTCCCTCAGGCAATAAAGGAGCAAGCAGGGCTGCTGCCACTCCCTTCCTCTCCTCCTCACTGTTGGAAAGAGCCTGAATTCCTTCATTTACTTCCTATAAAGAATAAAATCATTTGTTCTTACCAAAGGAATCTCTCTTGGGTTTATATTCAATTATTCCTATTAACTGTATTTTTAGTTCACTGAATGTGTCACAGAACCATCTGCACCCAACATATTAGTATGTTTATGCCATTACATGTACGCAAAGGAAATAAGCTTTAGGAAGGCAGTGGTTGAACGAGAATCTAGTTCTGAGTAAGACTAAACTATCTCTCCCCATCTGCTGAGTATCAAAAAGGAAGCTAGAAGGAAGCAGGAGAAGATGTCACATTAGCATCTTGTCAACACATGACCACATAAATCTTCACCTACCTCTTTACCTCCTCTATAAGATGAAAAAACTTCATAAATGCTTCAAAGAGGACTTAATGGAAAGTAAAATATTTCTAAAATAAAATGTTAAGTTTAAGCTGGATGTAGCAGTCCATGCCTATATTCCAACTGGAGAGATGGAGAAGAATTAAAAGAGTATAAAGTCAGCTGCAGGCTTGTCAGAGCTACACAGAACACCTTGTCAAAATATAAAACAACACACAAACAAAAAAATAAAATAAAAGGTCATCTTCAACTACAAAGAGTTTGAGGGCAGTCTGAGCTACATGACACACACTGTCTGAAACAAAAACATCCGATTATAATTAGTTATTTATTATTTAACTCCACAGAAATGTAAAGCTTTAATTTTTTTTGGTTGTGAGGTTTGAGATTTAAGACAGGGCTTAATACACTTGTCAGGTGCCTCACTACATCTAGTCTAATTAAAATTACTTTATAAAATTGTCTCTAGCTGGTCATGGTGGTGCATGCCTTTAATCCCAGCACTCAAAAGGCAGAGGCAGGCGGATCTCTGTGAGTTCAAGGTCAGCCTGGTCTACATAGTGAGTTGCAGGACAGGTGGGGGCTACAGGGAGACCCTTTCTCAAAAAAAAAAAAAAAAAAAAAAAAGTCTCTAGCTGGGAGTGGTGGCACACTCCTTTAATCCCAGCACTTGGGAGGCAGAGGCAGGTTGATCTCTGCAAGTTCAAGCCTGGTCTACATAATGAGTTCCAGGCCAGCTAGAGTACAGGGAGACCCTGTCTCAAAAAAAAAAAGGTCCCTAAAGAATGCCATTTTAGGGGCTGAAAAGATGGCTCAGTGGTTAAGGACACTGGATCTTTTTGCAGAGGAACTGGGTTCAATTCCCAGCACCCTCATGGCAGCTAACAACCGTCTGTAACTCAAAATTTCAGGGGATCTGTTGCCTCTTCTGACCTCCATGGGCACTGCACAACATGGGTGCAGCTACCCACATGCAGGCAATATACTCATACACATAAAAATAGTAAATTTTTTTTAAAAGAAAGAATGCCATTTTAAAGAAATACTTAGCTTTCACTAGTATAAATACCTCTAATCCAAAAACAAAAATACTATAAAATTGAACTTCCTGAGTACCAGGACACCGGTGGAAAATTCCACACTAGACCCTGTATGTGGGGCTGCAGTGAAAATGTAAGACCTAGGAGACACTCAGCAGGTAAAAGCACTTCCATAAAGCCTGACAACCTGAGTTCAATCTCTGGAACTCACATGGTGAGAGAAAACTGCTATCAGCAAGTTGTCCTCTGAACTCCAACATGCAATGTGGCACATGCCCTCTTCCCAAATAAATAAATGTTAAAAAAAAAAAATTGTATGAAATTACTTTCATGCTTTGTGTATGTAGGGTATAAGAAATATGAATAAATTATTTAATTTGGGTTCCATACATAAGACATATTTATATACATGCAATTACTTTAACATCTAAAAAATCTAAAATATTCTGGATAAGGGCCAGTCATTCTGAGGTAATTTTTTATTTTCTTCAAATATAGTTTTAAATTGTTTTTAATATTTATTATTTTTATTTTATGTGTTTGAGTGTATTGCCTACATGTGCACCTATGTCATGCAATGCCCACGAGGGTGTCGGATCCCCTGGAACTGGAATTACAGATGATTTTTAGCCATGTGGGTGCTGGGAATAGAACGCAGGTCCTCTGCAAGAACAGCTAGTGCTCTTAATCAATGGACCATCTCTCCACGCCCCCAAATAAACTTTAAAAAAATTTATTTCTGCCAGGCATGGTGGCACATGCCTTTAATCCCAGCACTCCGGAGGCAGAAGCAGGTGGATCTCTGTGAGTTCAAGGCCAGCCTGGTCTACATAGTTCCAGGACAGCTGGGGCTACAGGGAGACTCTGTTTCAAAAAGACCAAAAAAAATAATAATAATAAATAAAAGTATTTCTATTTGTGTGTGTTTGTGCATCCCATCTGTGTGCAGGTGCCCAAGGAGGCCAGAAGAGGTTGTCAGATGCCCTGCATGCTGCTGGAGTTACAGGTAGTTGTGAGCTACCCACTTGACATCCTGGGAACCAAACCCTGGTCCTCTGGAAGAGCAAGAAGCTCTACTAAATGCTGAGCCACCTCTCTATCAATGAGTTTTTAATTTTAAAAGCAGTTGATTCTTTTTCTGGTTTCTTTGAAACATGGTCTTGATGTATAGATATATCTCATGGTGGCCTATTTTTTAGCTCTTTCTGCTTCTACCACCTACCTGCTGGGATTACAGGTATGTGCCATAACACTTGGATTAAGGTAGTTGGTCTTTTTATTTTATGTGTATGAGTGTTTTACTTGCATGTATGTAAGTGCCCCCATGTTGTGCAATGCTTTAGGAGATCAGAAGAAGGCAAGCTGGATCTCCTGGAACTGGAGTTAAGGACAGTTGTTAGCTGACATGTAGGTGCTGGGAATCAAACCCGAGTCATCTGTAAGAGTAGCTACTACTCTTAACCCTGAGCCACTCTCCAGCCCTGATCTTTTTATTTTAAAAATATCCTAGGGGGCAAGCTAACGTAGAATAATAAATAGCAAGGAACAAAAAGAAGCAGCAGACAGTAAAACATCATCAAACAAGAGTTCATAACATGCAGTGTAGACAACTAGAGTAGCCTGAGAGCAAACAAAGGTGACACCATCAAATCGGGAGCTTACAAACATCCAGCAGAAAACTGGGGAAACTGAGGTATTCAGCTGCAGGTCCCCACTGATCTCTCTGTTGATGAGCTTCCCATGGCTGAATTTCTAACTTACCATTCCCACTGTAGGCATTTTTTTTTCAGGGGTGGGGGAAGGGGCACTGGCCTGGAGACTGCCACACAGACCAGATTGGCCTTCACCTCAGATCCGCCTGCCTTGCCTCCCAGCTGCTGGGAATAAAGGCATGAGCCATATGCCCAGCTCCACTGCAGGCAGTTGTGTATCATGGGATAAACAATAGTAACCTTTGTTGCAGTTTACTTTCTAGCTCTTCTCAAGGGTACAATATTTATTTATTTAATATGTATTAAGTGTTTTGCTTGCATACATTTAAGTATGCCTGTGTATGCAATACCTGTGGAGGTGAGACAAGGACATCACATCCCTTGGACCTGGAGTTACAGACAGCTGCTAGTATCCATGTCAGCTCTGAGAACTGAACCTGGGTCCTCTGAAGCGCAGCCAGTGCTCTTAACCACTGAGCCATTTTGCCAGCCTCCCCCAAATATTCCTTTTTGTTACATTCATTAAGTGTGTCTGTTGTGCATGCAGAGCTGGTTTTCTTCCTCCACAATGTGGGTCCTGGGGGATGAAACTCAGGCTGTTAGCCTAGCCAACAAGTACTCTTACCCAATGAGTAGAGATCTCTCTGGTTCCTCATGACGTTTGTTTTTGGTTTTTTTTTTTTTTGAGACATGGTCTCCCTGTAGCCCCAGTTTACCTGGAACTCACTTTGTAGACCAGGCTGGCCTTGAACTCACAGGGATCCACCTGCCTCTGCCTCCTGGAATTAAAGACGTGCGCCACCACGCCTGGCTCCTCATGTTTTTAATATCCTTAGCTGTTTGCTGTTTTCCTTTTATACTGTTACAGAGTTAGGGGGCCAGTTTGCCCAAGGACATGGGGTTTTGGAAGACACAACATAATCAGGTTTGGGTTTGAAATGGGGGCAGGAACCTAGGTTCTAGGTATATTCAAACAGTTCATGAAAATTTACCAATGTGATATACATTACAGTTGCTTTCCTTCTAAGATGACCCATGTAGCTTCTATAGCACTCTAAAGCTCTGAAAGAACCACTGATGAGTTGATAACTGCTATAAATGATGTACAATACAGAAATAGATTGAGTAAAACTAGAAACACATCTGTGTTGTAAAAACATTACCATATTAAGCTTACTTGATTTACAAATAAGCAAGTGTAATAATTATAATACTGACCTTTTTAACTTCTCGTTTGGCTATGACTGGTCCACTTTTAGTACTGGAAACAGGAACTGTTTTTTCCTTCATATATACGTCTGTATTTACTACAAAACTAGCTTCAGTAACTGTTACAGAACTGAAAATAAACAAAGAGAAAAAGACAATTACCTGTAGCAGAAAATAAGATTCTTGATTTTCTTCTACATAATTTCTTGCTCAAGCCTATCCTTACCTTGGCTGGTAATGCTGTAATCCCTGTACCTGGGTGGCAAGATATTGGGGTAACTCCCAAGTCACTTCATTTGTTTGTGTGTTCCAGTAATAATAACAACCTGTGTTCTCATCCCAGACTTCTTGCCAATCTCCCATCTCAATTCCAACTATGAGAAAATGAAACAGATTTTTAGATACAAAGCCCTGCAACAACTCTTTTATCTCAAGCCAGCTCTAAAGCCACAACTCAACACAGGGTTTCTCAAATCTGTGTACCATGTTTAGTAGCATTCCTAGTCTGTACCAAACAGAAACCCCTCTGGACTGTGATAACAACAAAAATCTTCAAACAATGTCAACTGTTCCCTGGGACAACTCCTCTACCCCAACACAGAATCATTGGTTTAACTCCAAAAGTTATTTTTTGTTGTTTTGGTCTTTTTGAGACAGGGCTGGCCTTGATTGAATGCACAGAGATCCACCTGCCTCTGATTCCCAAGTGCTGGAATTAAAAGGCATGAGCTACCATTCCTGGCTCTAATCAAGTTAATTTTCCAATATATATTTAAATTACCTTTGCACACAGGGCTAAAAGCAACCTGATACTCAAAAACTTATTTTGAGCCTCAAAACACTATTCAAAATAATGGCTTTCATTATTCACCTGAAATAAAATGTTAAATGTTACTAAGACCATTAGCCTATCTACCATCTTCCAAATACTGTATTCAAAAGGTCAGAACCCTGAAGTCAAGAGTTAAAGTATCTGTAAGGTCCTGTTCTGTTTAGGAAGGCCATGCCTAAAACATGTCTGAGGATTACTTGAAACAACAAGGGAACACACCTCCGGCCAGTGAACACTGAGTATCATACTGCCACCCTGGTGTCTGGGTTGAGTCTGTTCCATTTGATGTGGTAGATGAAAGGGCAGAGGACGCTGCTTCCTTTGGTTCTGGTCGAGGTGGAGTTGGAGGTGGAACAGAAGCTACTACAGGAGCTGTAGGCTGAGGAGCTGTTATGGCATCAATCTCCTGTAGAATGAAAAAAAAAAAAAAAACAATAAATGGCTGGGCACTGTAGCTCAAACCTGAAATCCTAGCCCTTGGCAGGCAGAAGCACAAAGGCCTGCAAGTTCAAGCCAGCCTTGTCTACACAGCAGGTTTCAGGCCAAGGTGAGACTCCACTGACACACAAGCAGGTAGGCAGGCAGAAGAAAACTGAAGAAATGACATAAGTTTGAAGCCAGGGTAGCTACATAGTGAATTCCAGGTAAGCCTGGGCTACAGACAAGGTTTGTTTCAGAAAAACTTAAGTGCATAATAATATGATATATTTTATGTTATAAAACCCTGGAATTTGCCTGGCATGGTGGTATACACCTTTAATCCCAGCACTTGAGAGGCAGAGGCAGGAGGATCTCTGTGAGTTCAAAGCTAGCTTGCTCTATAGTGAATTCCAGGCCAGCTGGGACTAAGGGGAGACCCTATCTCAAAAGACCAGAAAAGAAAAAAACCCTGGAATTTGTAAACAAACACCTTTAAAACACCTCTAATCTCAGCACTCAGGAGGCAAAGGTAGGTGGATCTCTGTGAGTTCAAGGCCAGTCTGTTCTACACAGCATAGCAAGTTCCAGGCCAGCCAGAGCTATAAAGTAAGAGAGTAAATGAATTTTAAAAAGTAATCACTTGGCCGGGCGTGGTGGCGCATGCTTTTAATACCAGCACTTGGGAGGCAGAGGCAAGTGGATCTCTGTGAGTTTGAGGCCAGCTTGGTCTACATAGTGAGTTCCAGGACAGCTGGGGCTACAGGGAGACCCTGTCTCAAAAAGACCAAAAAAAAAGTAATCACTTAACCCTAAGAGTGCAATTCTCAGGTTCAAACTTTCCTTTTCCAATTATGGAAGGTCCCCAAACCCTTCCATTCTTTTTCCTTCTTTGTTTTTTGAGTGAGGGTCTCCATGTAGTCCCAGCTAGCCTAGAACTCAGTATGTAGAACAAGCTGGTCTGAATTTCATAGAAATTCACCTCCTTCTGTGCGACACTCCAGTTACTTCTTTTTACTATAAGCTTTACAATAAGACAGACACAAAAGCGAGGAGGAATAGAGGAAGATGGGAGGAAAAACAGAGAAGAGACATACATAGGCTTACAAGCTGGGAAACCATTTGAGACTCAATTCCAAAAATGGCTCCAGTAAGTAAAAATGCAAACAAAACACTACTAACCGCGAGGAAGTTGGCCAAGGTACTATCTATATCAGTTGACTGGTTTCCATTTGCTTCTTTGGATTGGGCTGGTTTTTCAGAAGCATCGCTCTCATCATCATCACTGTCAGCATAAGTACCCAGTAAGCAAAGACCTCCTAGAAAAAGAAGGAAAACATCAGCAACATCAATGCCAATACATCTAGGAATATCTAAGAAAATATACAGATCACAGCTCTTTATTTATGGGTGCATATTCACATGGGTGTGGGCATACATACTTGAGTACATGTGAATGTTGTATGCATGAGGTCCAAGGGTGACACTGGGTATCTTCTTCAATAGCTCTCCACCTTATGTATCAAGGTAATGTCTCTTGTTGAACCTGGAGCTCACTGCTTTAGCTAGTCTGGCTAGTTAGCTTGCTCTGGGGATTCCGTTTCCGCTGGTATTAAAGGCAGGTCACCAGCCTATATACTACTACCTGAGGCATTCTGAGGATCCCGACTCTGGCCCTCATGCCTTTATTGGGCATATCCCCGGCCTAATTACATGCTTTTTTTTTTGTTGTTGTTTTTTGAGACAGGGTCTCCTCCTAGATCCAGCTGGCCTGAACTCACTGTGTAGACCAGGCTGACCTTGAACTCATAGAGATCCACCTGCCTCTGCCTCCTGAGTGCTAGGATTAAAGGCCTGGACCACCACGCCCAGTCTAAATTTACTTCTGTACTAGGCTACAACTTTAGTCTTAGTTTGGTGGTTAGTCTGATTTTGGAATTCTGTTTAATTCCTGAATATATATGTTAACTCTTTGATCAAAGAACCATGTAATAGGAGCCCAGCATGGTGGTGCACGCCTTTAATCCCAGCACTCGGGAAGCAGAGGGAGGCGGATCTCTGAGTTCAAGGCCAGCCTGGTCTACATAGTTGAGTTCCAGGCTAGCTGGAGATACAGGGAGATCCTGTCTCAAAACAAAACAAAACAAAAACAAAAACAAGCAAATAACCTAAATTTTTCCAAGTTGGGCAACTTGGGACATGTCTTAATTCCAGTACTTAGGAGGCTGAATGAGGAGGATCAGAACTTTGTGGCCAGGATGGGTACATAGTGAGTTCTAGGCCAATCTGAACTACAAATGGAAACTCTCAAAAATCACAGTATCTCAAACACCTAAGCTAATCAAAGTGTAGCACTTGAAACAGATTTTCAAAGGTAAAAACAAAGCAATTAATGATTATTCCAACAAGAAGTGGCATGAACTAAAGTACATTAAGATGAATATAATCTGTGAATTCAAGTCCAGCCTGGTCTACAAAGTGAGCTCCAAGCTAGCAAGCTAGGGTTATATAGTAACACCCTGTCTCAAAAAACCAAAGAGGGGCTGGAGATGGCTCAGTGGTTAAGAGCACTGGCTGTTCTTGCAGAAGACCCAGGTTCAATTCTCAGCACCCACATGGCAGCTAGCAACCATTCTTGTCTCTAGTTCCAGGGAACTCTGATGCCCTCTTCTGACCTCTGTGGGAACTGCACAACACGGGTGCACTTACATACCTGCAGGAAATACTCATACACATAAAAATAAAAAAATAAATACTAAAGCTGGGTGTGGTAGTCCATGCCTTTAATCCCAGCACTTGGGAGGCAGAAGCAAGTGGCTCTCTGTGAATTTTAGGCCAGCCTGGTCTACATAGAGAGTTCCAGGCCCAATGAGGCTACAGAGAGACCCTGTCTCAAAAGACAAAAAATAAAAAATTAAAAAATAAAATACTAAAACAAACAACAACTAAACAAAACAAAAAGAGCTGGGCATGATGGTCTACATAGTGAGTTCTAAGCCACCAAAAACAAGAACACAAAAAAGATGAATATAATTGGGCTGAAGAGATGGCTCAATGGGTAAAGGTGCCTGCCACCCCAGGACCCCTAGTTTTTTATTTGTTTGTTTCTTTGAGACAGGGTCTCCCTGTAGACACAGCTGGCCTGGAATTTGCAATGTAGACCAGGCTGGCCTCCAACTTACAGAGATCTGCCTGACTCTGTCTCCTGAGTGCTGGGATCAAAGGTGTGCACCACCACACCTGGTCTCCAGGACTGTATATGGTAGAAAGAAACATTCCTGCAAGTTGTCTTTAGAATGCCACAAATCTGTGTATACCCTCACATACTAATGCACACACATATGGTTTCACGCTAGTGGAAAAAAATTAGCAAAGTAAATGAAAAATCACTAAGTAGATTAAAGCCATTAAGTACCCTCACTAATCCCAGCATTTATGGGAAACTGGTAAATTCATTAACATTGTCAGAGACGCCACAAATCAAGTTATGTCCTATCTAGCTGCAGACAGAACTCAAGGTCTCATACATGCTAAAAAAGTGACCTATCATTGAGTTATGCTCACAGCCTGTTCAGTATTCATGCTGAACCATCTCTCTAGGCCCTAACTTTTTTTAAAATAAGATCTACTTTTATTTTTAAAATTATACTTAGGTGTGCACATCTGCATGTGGGTATGTGCATGAGTACAGGTGCCGACAGAGGCCAGAAGAGAGCATCGGATATCCTGGAGTTGGATGTGGATGTTGTGATTCAAACTTGGATCCTCTAGAAGAGCAGCAAGTGCTCCTAACTGCTGAGCCATCTCTCCTGTTCCCATGATTCAGTATTTCATCTTTTTAATGTGTATTAGTGTTACACTTACATGTGTGTAAGTGCACCTGTGCCGTACTGTGCCCAGGGGACAGAAGAGGGTGTCTGATCCCCCGGAACTGGAGTTACAGACGGTTGTTAGCTGCCATGTGGGTGCTGGGATTTGAACCCAGGTCCTCTGCAAGAACAGCCAGTGCTCTGAACCATCTCTCCAGCCCCATAAATAATATCTTAAGAAAAAAACGAGAAATAGGGGGTGGAGAGATGGTTCAGTGGTTAAGAGCACTGGCTGTTCTTGCAGAGGACCCAGGTTCGAATCCCAGCACCCACATGGCAGCTAACAACTGTCTGTAACTCCAGTCCTCGGGGATCCGGCAGTCTCTCCTGACCTTCGCGGGCGCCAGATCCCATGGAACTGGAGTTTCAGAAGGTTGTGGGCTGCCACGTGGGTGGTGAGAAGTAAACCAGGGTCCTCTGCAAGAGCAGCCAGTACTCTTAACCACTGAGCCATCTTCCCATCCCCATGATTCAGTATTTCTTTTTTAAAAAATATTTTATTTATTATTTTTATTTTGTGTGTATGAGTGTTATGCCTGCATGTAGGTAAGGGCACCTGTGTTGTGCAATGCCTGCAGAGGACAGAAGAGGCTGTTGGATTCCCTGGAACTGGAGTTATAGACAGTTGTTAGCTGTCATGTGGGTGCTGGGATTCGAACCCGGGTCTTCTGCAAGAAAAGTCAGTGTTCTTAACTGCTGAGCCATCTCTCCAGACCCGATTCAGTATTTAAGAGAGAATCTAATAATAGGTATGAAGAGTACAAAACTCAAGTTTTAGTTTGGTAGTACCGTGGTTAGCATAGCTGCCTTCAAAAACACAAGTTCAGAGGTTGGATACAGGGGTGCACACCTTTAATCCCAGTACATGGGAGACAGAGAGAGACAGACAGATCTTTGAGTTCTAGGCTAGTCTGGCAAAGCCAAGTTCCAGGCCAGCCAAGGCTGCATGGCAAGACCCTGTCTAAAAATAAAACCAAATAAAACCACCCCTGTGTTTCCTTTAGTTAGTTAACCTCATCTTTGAGACTACTGCCTAAGGAAACTAAAAATAAAAGCACAAAGCTTGCATTAAACTCAAAGTCAAATGCTTTATAAAAGTTAGGCAGTGAGGGGCTGAAAAGATGGTTCAGTGGTTAAGATCACTGACTCTTCACGCAGAAGACCCGGGTTTGAAGCCCAGTACCCACATGGCAGCTAACAACTGTCCGTAACTCCAGTTCCAGGGTATCTGACAGTCTCTTCTGTTCTCCACAGGCACTGCACGACATGGGTGCACTTACCTACATGCAGCATGTGGGCAATACACTCATACACATAAAATAAAAACAGTAAAATATTAAAAAAAAAAAAAAAAGTTAGGCAGCTAAGCACTGTGACTCATGTCTGTAATTCCAGTAATTCAAAGATGGAGGGGGGAAGATTAGACAAGAGTTCAAGGTCAGCCCCAAAAACAGAAAGTTTGAGGCCAACGTGGAGTATGTGAGACCCTGTCTCATAAAAGCCACACATACATAAAATAGAGGCCTGATAAAACAGATTACAGCATAGTAACTGATATAATATTATTTTAGATTGATTGGGGCAGTAGGCGATTACAAGAAACAATACTAAAGGAACAAAAAGTACTAGGATAAGAACAAAATGCATAAACCTCTGAAAACTAAGTGTATATACTGATGAGGAGGCATGAATTTAGGATACAAAAAATAAAATATTCAGTGTATTAGCATGTAAAATTGCTTAATCATAGAAAAATCAACAGTACTACTCAGCTAATATAATGTAATAAAGAAGAGATCCAATGCCCCCTTCTGGCCTCTACAGGCACTGCACTTACATGCAGGCAAAACACTCATGCACATAAAGATAAATTTAAAAATATTTGGAGCAATTTTCAGCTCCACAAATATTGGCTGGAGATAGTTCAGTGCTTAAGAGCACTAGTTGTTCCTGCAGAGGACCAGGTTTGGTTCACAGCACCCACATAGTGGCTAACAACTGTCCACAACTCCAGTTTCAGGGAATCTGACGCCCTCTTCTGACCTCCCATGGCATTGCATGACACAGGTGTACTTACGTATGTGCAAGCAATACACACACAAACATAAAATAAAAATAAATATTTTTAAAATGACCTGGGTATGGTGTCACACACCTGCAATTACAGCACTTTGGAAGTAAAAGTTGGGGGATCACTAGTTCAAGGCACGCCTCAGCTACACAGAAAATTCCAGGCCAACTTAGACCACGAGTCACTGCCTGAAAAAGAATGTAAATAAAGCACCAAAATAAAAAGACATAATTGGTTCCCCTAAATAACACCAGAGAGGCTGGAGAGATGGCTCAGCAGTTAAGGACACTGGTTGTTCTTGTGGAAGACCCCAGTTCGGATCCCAGCATAAAAAGTCAACCATCTGAAGGCTGGGCGTGGTGGCACATGCCTTTAATTCCAGCACTCCAGAGGCAAAAGCAGGCGGATCTCTGTGAGTTCAAGGCCAGCCTGGTCTACACAGTGAATTCCAGGACAGCTGGAGTTACAGGAAGACCCTGTCTCAAAAAGAAAAAAAAAAGTCAACCATCTGTACTCCAGTGCTGGGGTTGTAGGGTCACAGAGACAGTTTGTAGTTCAGTGTCCAGCTGGTCTAGATGAATAGTCAAGCTCCAAATTAAATGAAGGACTGTCTCAAAAATAAATAATTAAGGTGGACAGCGACCAAGGAAAGTACCTGACATCCACCTTTGGCCTCCACATGCACACATTATGTGCACACATACACCAAACAACCTGAGAAGTGGGGGGCGGGGGGTAAAAGGAATTGAGGTATAGCAGTAAATAAACCAAAAAATAAGTAAAAGTTTGCTTACTAGGGGTTGGAGCAATGGATCAGTAGTTAACCACACTAGCTACTCTTGCAGAGGACCTAGGTTCCATTCCCAGCACCCACATGGCAGCTAACAACTATCCACAACTCCAGTTCCAAGGGAATCTGATGTCTTCTTCTGGCCTCTTTGGGCACTGCACAACACAACAGCACTTACAAAATGTAGGCAATACACTCACACACATAAAATAACAAAAAGTTTGCATACTAGAAAGCCCTCATAAAGTTTTTTTTTTTGACACTGTCTCTGCCTCCTGAGTGCTAGGATTAAAGGCATATACCACCCTGCCCAGGCTTTTTTTGTTATTTCTTTTTTTTTTTGGGGGGGGGGGGGACAGGGTCTCCCTGTAGCCCTAGCTAGCCTGGAACTATGTAGACCAGGCTGGCCTTGAACTCACAGAGATCCATCTGCCTCTGCTCCCAAGTGCTGGGACTAAAGGTGTACGCCAACCATGCTGGGCTTTGTTGATATTTCTTTCTTTTTTTTTAAGTATTTTATTATTTTTATTTTATGTGTATGAATGTATTGCCTGAGTGTATGTGAGTGCACCCATGTCATGCAATGCCATGAAGGTCAGAGGAGGGCTTCGGATTCCCCTGGAACTGGAGTTAAGGACAGTTCGTAGCCGCCATGTGGGTGCTGGGAATTGAACCCGGGTCCTCTGCAAGAGCAGTCAGTGGTCTTAACCGCTGAACCATCTCTCCAGGCCCTTGTTGCTATTTCTTACAAAAATATTTTTGTTAATTATTTTTTGTAGGCTAAGGATGAAGCCCAGAGCCTTGCACCTGCCTGGCAAGTACGCTACCAGTGAGGTACCTACCTCATGTAGTAGAAAAACTTTATTTTTATGAGAAATAATAAATTAGCAACAGTTAAGCATTCAACAGACAATCCAGGTACACATTCAATTTGAATTTATTAAAAAGATATTTTAGAGATGTAAAAGAAACAACAAACCTATACCTGTTGCCTTAACGGCTGTGGGTCTGGTAGTCATGACTGGTTTAGGAGGATTCTGAACAACTTTGGGAACCTCCACCACCACTTCCTGTTCATCTGGATTCAAAATATGAACAAAAGAAAATTGCAGTCAGCCGGTAGGCCAGACAAAACAGTAGATGGCAAATCAAGATCTTACCTTTCTAATACGAATTTCATCAACTTAAAACCAGGGTGTATAACTGACCCAAATTAGGGGATGAAAAACCAGAAAAGCTGGAATCTTCCATTCTCCGCTTAGTGACTTCGACAGTAACAATGTAGACACTATGAAAATTGCACCCGCAATTCTTCACAATCAACATGCATAAATAAATCTGCAGGTTTTCACACGTTATGTACTTCATAAGAAACCTATTTCTTTTTTTTTCTTTCCTTTTTGTCTTTTTGAGACAGGGTCTCTCTGTAGTCCCAGCTGACCTGAACTCACTATGTAGACCAGGCTGGCCTTGGACTCCCAAGGATCCGCCTGCGTCTGCCTCCCAAGTGCTGGGACTACAAGCGTGCGCCACCACGCCCGGCAGAAACCTATTTCTTAAGGCTTGAAATGGTCCCAAGCTTCTTGGGTGCCTACCCCTGTAACAATTGCTACTCTTACTTCCAAGTACCATTCCGGGAAAAAAGCCACACAAGTGCTGGGGAACCCACTGGTTTGTCACTAGTCCAGTGAGTCTGGGGGTACCAGATGCTTTGTCTGGCGTAATAATAAGGGTTTGTTTCCGTCTGAAGAGTGGCGGTCTCAATTCCAATAAAAACGAAAGTGTGCCCTGTGCAGGCCAGGCTCCAACCGCTTCAAGGCTCGCACGTGGAAGGCCCCTCCACCCTCTGCGTTTCCAGACTGCCAGGAGACATGTGGGAGACTCGGGGTGCCAGGCCCCGGTGGATTGCAAACGTTCCCGGGCAACCCCTGCACGCACGGTGGCGCCGGGGTGGGCCCGGGCGCGGCGCACGGTCGGCCTCTTCAGCCCTCCCCGCGGCTCCGTGGACGCAGGCTTCGGAGGCCGATCTCACCCGCCAGGTCTTCACAGGGGCCCGAGAAGCCTAGGCCGCAAGCCGGGTGCTTGAGTTTCGACGCGCAGACTCCAAGGCAGGGGCCCCCGCGCGCCCTTACCTTCCGAAGGCGAGTCTTCCGGGACCCCGGCGGCAGGCACCACGGGCGACGTCACGGTAGCTGCGGCCGCCGGGGCGGACTGGCTGGGCGCTGCCGCCGCCGTCGAGTCCGGCTCCGGGTCGGGGTCGGGATCCGGATCCCGGCCCGGCGTGCTGCTCCGAGGACCCGGTGGAGAAAGCTGAAGGATGGGCCTGCGGCCGGGTACTGCCCGGGACTTCTTCCCCATCACGAGCCGGAGCCGGAGCCGCGAGCCTCCACACTCTTAGAGGGGCGGGCTCGACGCTCGGCGCCCGGGTGCGTAATCAATATTCATAGACCGTGGTACCGCCCCCTGAGAGCTGCTTTTAACCGGCACGGTGCACGCTCGCGCATGCGCTGGACGCTCGGACGGCCTTTAAAGCCGCTCCGCCCCCTCTACGGAAGGGCGGGCTTTTCTCAGGGGAAGTGCAATTGGCTGTTTTGACCTAGAGGAGGAGCCAGTAGCCAATGGCAAGAGGAAAAGCCTGGGCGTCAAGCCAATAGGGAGAGAGAGCGAGAGAGAGAGAGAGAGAGAGAGAGAGAGAGAGAGAGAGAGAGAGAGAGAGAGAGAAAGCACCACACATATACACACACAAAGAGAGACAGAGAGAGAGAGACAGAGAGAAAGAGTAAAATAGTGGGCGCGAGAGAAAAAGGGAGAGAGAGAGAGAGAGAGAGAGAGAGAGAGAGAGAGAGAGAGAGAGAGAGAGAGAGAGAGAGAGAGACGGTCTGCGGTTAGCGAGACTGGGTTTCGCCCATGCGCGGTGAGCCGAGTCTTTTCTTTGCCTCTTTGTTCGCCATCTTGTGGCTGGTTTCAGCTGTCACTTGCTATTTGTCCTTTAAGGAGATGTACTGCACCCTTCTCCTAGGTTCCCATTATTGTCCCTTCTTTTGGATGTAGTATTAAATACAAGGCTACTGCGCCTTTTACACTTTTGTAAATTCTTAGAATGCTAAGATGCTATGTTATTAGTGGGGAAAATGACTGCTCCTTTAATCGGCCAAACATGGAATGGAATACAGAGAAGCCTTACCGCAGCCTGCTTTACTAACTCTCCTTTAACACCCCTTTCTGCCCTGCTGCTATATCCTCCACTTGTAGCTAGAGGAAAGACCTTGAGGAGGCTGGGAACACCGAGCTCCTTCAATTCCAAGCCTTGGTTGCCTGCAGAAGTGACCTCCCAATCCCCAGAGGCACTGGCATCCTGAACCAGTAATGTCCTCCCCTGAGGTAGTAGCCAAGCAAGGCATTACTGGTTTTCTTCAGGACCCACTCCTACAGTACCTTGTTGCTTCTAAGGCCAATAAGGTGAGGTATAAAATGTTTCCTATGAGGTGCATTTTACTCTAGGAGAACTTAAGCATTCTAATAAGTACAAGCAGAACAGCTCATCATGGTGCATGCCTATAATTCCAGCACTCAGGAGGCAGAGTTAGGAGGATGACTATAAGTGAGGCCTGCAGTGTCTACATACTGAGTTCAAGACCAGCCTGAGTTTGCAGAGTGAGAGCTCAGGTCTTGTCTCAACAACAATAATACAAGCAGAAAGATGTGTGGGAATGGCTAATGTGATGTAGAATAATGGTTTAAGAAACCTGCCAAGCTAGGAGCTAGGAGCTCCTGAAGCAGATTCTGCATTAGATGTTGCAGCTCAAGGAGGCGTTGCTAACACTTCCACTGACTGAAACAAAAGGTGGCCAGTGAGTAAGAAATGTCTGATCTCTTTGGCTTACTACAGGTGGATTTGCAAGTTTAGCGAGATTGGACTAAAGGAGTGGATTTGTTCCTTAAAACCTACATACTCTAGGAGATTTGAGAAGCCTTACCTTTCACCAGTATTTTGAGAAATACAATAGATTTTCAAGAAGAGCCCCAGCATCCCTGAAGAGCCTTGATTGTTCTCTGTAGGCCAAGCCTTACAGTGACTCTGGAATGGCAGGGACCAAATGGTGATGCTGAGCAAAGGCATGGTAGATGTGGAGGTGGTAATTACAGCAGAGACTACGACCAGAAGACTATGAATCCTATAGATATATGGCATTCACCTATGAATCCCAGAAGTGAAATAGGAAACCTACTAAATTCTTGATCAGTATAAGCAGAAGGTCAATAAAAGTCTAACCTGAACCCTGCCGGATGTGTTGGCTCAAGCCTCTAGTCCCAGCACTTGGGAGGAAGAGGCAGGCAGATCTCTGTGAGTTCAAGGCCAGCCTGGTCTACATAGTGAGTTCCAGGACAGCTGGGGCTACAGGGAGACCCTGCTTCAAAAAGATAAAAAAAAAAAAAAAAAAAAAAAGCCTAACTTGAATAGTAAGAACAGAGAATTCTGGTGCTGCTATCCAAATTCAGAGTTTGTCCTTCTGAGGACTGCTGCTGACTCAACTTCCCACCCATTTCCCTCACCTTAAATGTTTTGCTCTGGTTGCAATAACTACTGTATCACATGACAAAATTCAGTCCTCAAAGCCCAGGGCAGACAAGACTTCTCTGAACCTTGTATCTCTGTGCCTCGGTGTCAAGCCCCTCCTGGGCACAATGGGAACCCATCTCCTCCTCCAAACTGCATTTAAGAAATAGTAGTAGTAGTGGGGCTGGAGAAACGGATCATCAGTTAAGAACACTGTTCTTGCAGAAGACCCGGGTTCAAATCCCAGCATCCATGTGGCAGCTAACAACTGTTCGTAACTCCAGTTCCAGGGAATCTGACAGCCTCCTCTGTTCTCCACAGGCATTGCATGACACGGGTTCACTTACCTACATGCAGGCAATACAGGCATAAACACAGAATAAAAATAATAAAATAGTAAAAAAAAAATTAGTAGCATATAGCCCCAGAAATGAACTAGGTTCATACCCAAGCACACTAAAATTATCTGACATTAGCCGGACATGGTGGCACACACCTTTAATCTCAGTACTCCAGAGGCAAAGGCAGGCAGATTGAATCTCTGTGAAATCAAGGCCACCTTCATCTGCATAGGGAGTTCCAGGCAAATTGGATACAGGGAGACCCTCTCACAAAAAAAGAGTAAAAAGTAAAAATGCCTGACATTTTCTATGTGACTGTTAACTAATCACTTTACATGTAAAATTGAATTTGATTCTCATAAAAACTTCATAGGCTAAATATTAACTCCAATTTTATTTATTTATTTTAAATATTTTACTTATTATTTTTATGTGTAGTGCCTGCATGTAGGTAAGTGCACCCATGTTGTGCAATGCCTACTGAGGACAGAAGAGGCTGTCGGATCCCCTGGAACTGGAGTTAACAGTCAGTTGTTAGCTGCCATGTTGGTGCTGGGATTCGAACCCGGGCGTTCTGCAAGAACAGCTAATGTTCTTAACCGCTGAGCCATCGCTCTAGCCCCTAACTCCAATTTTAAATGTACCCTATCACTGGTTGTTAATGCAAAATCCACAAGAACAGTGACTTGATTTTTTTTTTGTTTGTTGTCAGTGTATCAAATATGTGCTTTCTGGAACATAAGAGGCACTCAGCAAATGTTAGAAAAATATACAAACTTGAATAAATTAATGAATGAACATGTGCAAACCTGAAATAAGTTACAAAACTTCTTTCCTTTTCTTACCTATGGACCAAGTGTCTGGATTATTAGAGTGTACTGAGATTTAAAAAAATAATTGCCAGACATGGTGGTGCACGCCTTTAATCCCAGCACTCAGGAGGCAGAGGCAGGCTGATCTCTGTGAGTTCAAGGCCAGCCTGTTCTACATATGAGTTCCAGGACAGCTGGGGCTACAGGGAGACCCTGTCTCAAAAAAAGACCAAAAATAAATAAATAAACAAATAAATATGTTTTAAAGTCCCAAGATTTCTGAAAAAAAATAACAGAAGAAAAGGAAAATTAGCTATTTTGAAGCTGTTAGCAGTTTTCTGACATTTCTTGGGCAGAGTGGCAGTAAAATATAAGAAA